CACCTGATAAGTTAAGGCTCTTCTAGATTCTGTCAACTTATTGAAAATTGGGCTGAATCTTGCGATTTTCATCAACAGTTCTGTTCAGGATATTATTTCCTATATTTTTTATTCATGCTATTTCGTCTATTGAGGTCCATAACAACAAACTTTTGGTCATGGTCAAGCGAATGAGGCCTCCGCATATTAGCCCCAATCCTGGCGAAAACGCGTCGAATTGATCAATTAACTAGTTAAATTAGCTTTATAGTTTTTGAGGTTTTCGAACTGAAGACATATTTCAGATAATACAGTAAAAACACTTACCGATAAGAGACGTTATCTTCCACGCAGAGCCTTCGGAAGGGGAACACTGGGATTTTCCCTAGAGCCCCGAGAAAACTTAAAGGCTCAAAGCTTGCTTAAAAAAGCCCTCTCAGCGAAAGCCGTAAAGAGTTTAAATAAATAAATATATATATATAATATACACATAAATTTCGTAATATCAAAAGACTAAGAAAATATTAAAATAAGAAATCTGGTCAGTACGCTTTTACGAAAAGATGGAGAATCACTGATATAATGTAAAGATTTCTTGAATAAAAAATACAATCTGTTGATTTTATAGCCTTAAAAAGAACGTAAAATCTACTTCTGTGTAAAGACGAGATTCTATTATAATTTTTTTTTTCAAATTCGATCATCAAGAGCAACATTACGAAATAAAAACAATTTAAAATTCAGACTGGATATTTATACAGTAATTATTTCTTATTTTTATATATTTTTAGAAAATGATAGCATTAAAAAATTTTTTAAATATTTTTTTTGGAGAAGTAATGTAAATATTCTAAACTTTATCACATATATATTCTAGTTTATTGATGTGAATCTGAATAATAAATATATATATTCAATTTCAGAATTTATTCCGACATGTTTGCAAATATTTATTTTATCGAAAAATAAAAACGAAAAATAATACATAAAGATGTTCACTAAAAACTTTTTTTTTCTGAAATGTACATTTTAATATTTTAAAAACAGAATAAGACTGTATAATCTCGATCTGAATTTCATAAGTACAATTTTTTCATATTAGTATCAAAGATTTTTTGAATAAAATTTATTCCTGATGCATTAAGTCGATTTCTTATATTCCTATGCAGAGTCTATGTAATGAGGTCTTTTTCACTTTCCCGGTTGTTATAACATAACACGGGAAAATATTGTAATCGTGTCAAATTTGACCCTCCGGTGTTTTGCAAATCTCGATGTTCTCAGACCCCGAACCCGAAAAAATTCTTGTGTTAGTGTAAATACCATTTAATAACTCAGAATGGGGTAAATATTAAGAAACTAAATTGGCGCGGGCATTGATGCTATTAAATTTTGGTGGTTAAAGGTCGAGGTGGATAGAGGAGGTCATGTGCCATATCTCGAGCGGAGGAAATTTTACTTGTTATTGGCATTTACGATTTTTTAAAAAGTCGTCTCCAATCTCAAAATTAAGCCTTTTTTGTATTTTTGTAATAATTAATAATATGAAAGTTATTTTTTAATAGCATCTCTTAATAGGCGATGCCAAACAATTTTAACTTTCAGCTAGTTTCATAGTGTTTTTTAAAAAAATATTTTTATCATAATTCAACAAAATAATTCCTTTTAAGCTTTAACCTCTTGTTCGAGTGTCGGAAAAGTCGAGCAAGAGCCCTTGCCAGTTTTCTTTTTAACAAAAATCATGGACCTGTTTTATTGCACATTTCTTTTTCAAAATAAATAAATTAATGTAGGAAAAATATTTTTTCATAATTTATTTTTATCCGCATTTTTGTTTCTGGTTTGTGACATTAACTCAGAAAAAAATTCTACCAGTATGTAATTTCGAAATGTTAGCTTAATAAAATATATCTTTATGATTATGAATTTCTTTTTGAATTTATTTATTAATTATAGGAATTACATAATCTGCTATATACTGTATTTCCATACTGTCAAAAATTTGTATTAAGTTTCATATGCAAAGAACAAATTTGCATTTTCACTATCTACATATTTTTCCTTCTCAGCTGTTTTAGAACGTAATATAGAGAAAGTATGGTAATCGGTCAAAGAACCTCCTGCACAAACCTAATGGAAATGGGTCACACTGGATTTAGCTGAATCTTTGATATGTTTTAGTTCTGGTGGTCCCGATCAAAAGTCTTCATAGGAGCAATCGAGCGAGGGGTGGGAGGTAGAAGCGAGTAGAGGTTGGTCCATGGAAGAATGGTTCCCGTTACAAATAGTATATTGGGAACAAATGAGTCATGCAAGCTGAGTGAACCATGTTACTAAAGAATTGGAACGTTATTCTGTGGGACATTAAAAAAAATCGTGATGTTCGACCCATTCGAAAAAAAAAGTTGTGGAATCTGAAAGTTGTTTGATTATGATAGAGAAATCTGAAATGAAAGTTTTTGTGATTAGAATAAAAACTTTTTTTTTTCTAATTGCTTTGAATGTGGGGGTGCATTTCGAAACGGATCTGAACTTATTTTACATTGCGGAATCCTCGGAATTAGACATATGAAGATAAGCATTTTGTGAATTTTTATTTTGAATAATCTAGATTGGGAACAAGCGAGCGAAGCGAAGAGGGGCTGAGCAACTGGGGCAAGGCCTCCTAGTTATTATCCAAAAAGTTTAATTAAAAATAAAATCCTTTAAATATTTATGCGCAAGAATCGCTTATTACGTCTTAATAATTTTTTAAATCAACTTTTAAGGAACTGAGAAATGCTCAATAAGACGTCACACGTCAATAGATTTTCGTTCATCGAATCTCTTGGTACGTGGCATTTTATTGTTAGTTTTTTTTTATTGTTTACACTTTATTTAGTTCTTTAAAAATAAATCGCTAAATAAAAATAATCAAATACACTAGAGCGTCGATTATCCGAAATAATCGAGGCGGGGCAATGTCGGATAATCGATCACACTTGTTAGGAAAAGAATTAAAAGATTGACCTTAAATAAAGCAAAAATATTAGTTTTAATTGTAGTACAGTAGTAAAACGGATTAAAGAAAAGAAATTTTATACATGCGAATGACTAGAGATAACAAAAAATTGTTAAGTTATTAATTAAACGAGAGAGAGCGACTTATTTAACTCGCAATCTATAAAAGAATTTGTTGTTGTTCTTAGTGAACTAAAATATATCCATTTTCGAATATAGTTTAACATTTCTAACTTGTAAGAAAAAAAGCGTCGTTCTATTGGTGTAATGCGCGTTTGAAGGAACGTGTTTAGCAGCGAGTCAACTGGACAGACCGCCGGGGCATAGTTGTCATGGTAAAGCTGCGTTCAGACAGGTTAACTTAAGGTAAGCGACGTAACTTGGCGTTGTTATATGCCACATTTCAGGGAAACAATGTCATTAGAATCGAACCTGAAACGATTTTGGCGGAAAGCATCTTACATTCAGCCAATAAAAATTTTCCTATCATTTCGTGTGCGCGCGAGAACGACAGGGGGGACGGCAGAAAGCACGCTGAAAGAGGAAAATCTAATTATATTTGATACAATCTTAGAGAAAAGGATTTTTAAAATGTTGATACTTGATTGACTAGAAGTAAAAGTTCACATGCCCGTAAGAACAATTACACGTAACGTAAGAAGTGCCTTTCTGAACGCAGCTTATCGCATACAATAGTGAAAACAGGACTTTAAGCTTTTCTCTCACGTGGACCCACTAGCAAACTCGAAAACAGACTCCAAACTGAAATAAAAATTCCGTATGAATTTAGAAAATTTTAAAAAGTTCTCAACGGATGAACTTTAAGAATCCTTACTCTTATTTTCTGTTGGTGTACGAAAAAGGTCTAACAGTTTCATGGCGGAGTCGACCTTAATTTACAGGCTTCTCGTCCTCCTCAGCATGCAAAACGTTACAATCTTTCCTCTGCTATTTCCTGATGGTGTACGAAAAGGGACTAAGAGTAAGGACACTTTTAAGCTTCATACATTGAGAAATTTTTGGTATTAATAAATTATCTAAGTTCATAATTATAGTGTGGTTATTATAGCCGATTGGGTGGAAAGTGTCACGACAGTCGAGCGGGCGTCAAACAGTCGTGTGGGCGTGGAAAGATTCACCGAGACAGGTTTACCATTTGAAACCGTTTAATAGATATGTTACCGCTAAAGCTCGAAACTCGTTAATCCAAAGATTAACTAGAGCAATCCGTTAAAGTTGTGAAAATTGTTCCATTTCTCAAATTACCTAGATAATGTGCAGAATATCTAGGTAATCCGCACATTACCTACTAGGCACTCGGTAAAGTGAAAATAAGATCTTTGCCACATATAAATGTACCACAAATAGGTATGCTTGTCGCAGAAACCAATTGCTATGAAATTCAAAGTGTCACCAATCTTTAGACTGCACAATTGGATAATGTTACCTATGGTGGGTAAAATGGCGGCTCGTCTCTGATTTCAGCAAAGAGAAGAAAGGAAACAGTGGAGACGCACGTTAAAACCTAACCTAACCTATTCTCTACATACCTATTCTAATAATCTGGTTGGTAATAATTATGGTAATTTATTAAAATAAGTTAGGTTAGGACAGAACGTGCGTCCCCACTGTTTCCTTTCTTCTGTTTGCTGGAATCAGAGACGAGCCGCCATTTTACCCACCATAGGTAACATTAACTGCACAATTATATCATGCGATTACCAGAAAAAGTATGATAACTTTATTATTTTTCGTCTCCGGTCCAAAAGTAGAGTATTGTTGAAGTCGTCTCTGTCCCCTCAGTTTAGATAGATACTCAAAGTCCCGAAATTCCATAGGTGGTTATCTGTATAATAATTTCCCTAATTGTATTAATATTTTAAATCGTTTGATTTTTTGTATGTTTTTTAATTGGTTGATGATTGATTCTATCAACTAATTTGTCGATTGTTTGATTGTATTAACTTGATTCTTTAGATATCGAAAATTAAATAAAGAACATTATGTTAATTTAAGCGTACAGAAACGTTGCTGTTGTTNATTGTGCACGGTCGTATTTGCTGCCTGTTTTGTTTTTTTTTTCGAAATTGGTAAATTGTTACAAGGTTACAAAACAAAATTAGAAGGGGGGAGGGGAGAAAATATAGCTTACCTGTAATTGTTCAATTAAGCTTTGATTTTCTTGCTTTAATTCGTTGTTGGTAATCTCCTGCCTGGATAATGATTCCGTGGATTTTGAGGTGTTGTGGAACATTTCTTCTTGGAGTACGTGATATTCCACTTCGTAAGACTGCAAAGATTTGGCTACGTCTAAACTAATAGCCTGTAAAGAATAGGAAAATTTAGCGTAATAACGGGGTAATTTTCGATAAATTCGAGATAGAATCAACGTTACTTCGTCCAAAATCCTCGACGTTTGTTCGTTATCTAAAGATGGCAGGACGTTTTTCAGGTAATCGACAATGGTCTCGAAAGTCGTCAGTCGTAGTAAATCGTCTCGAAAAGTTGTCAACAGCAATAAAGATACTTTGAAAACTGCCTCCATACCTTGTAAAAAGATAAGATCTGAAAGAACAATAAAAATTATCGCTACGGAAATTCAATCGGTTTGTAGGCAAATCCCGTTTCCAGATTGCACGGGGACAAAACATAAAAGGCGAACGTCCCCTATCAGTTGTATTGTTGCATCTATGAACAATGACTCACCGAATAGTCTGGATACAAATCCTAGATGGAATTGGGAGGAAAATAGAGTTAGGAACCACGGAGCGGCGTATAAAGCTGGAGAAACGTCGTGGCGTTCGAAATGAACGTGGATGTCGTATAAATTATCGAAAATCAAACGAGATAATTGATATAGCTGCACCTGATAATGATTTAAAAAAAAAACAAGAGGGTAGATTAAAAAAAAGAGGCAATTTCTTAAAGGAAAAATAAACAAAAATGTCATTCACCTGAAGGGCTACCATGTTAGGTCTGTATTGATCGCGAAAACCGAGGCAGAACAGCATGTGTTTTATCATGTCAAAGGCTTGCAACTCCGACATCTAAAAAAAAAAAAAAAAAAAAAAAAAAAAAAAAAAAAAAAAAAAAAAAAAAATTTTTTTTTTTTTTTTTTTTTTTGCTATCGCTAGCGATACGAAGCTGCGATCTCTGATAGGATAGTGAATTCCAAAAAGTTGGCAACAGATAACCTCTACATACACCAACTCGTAAATAAAACTGTTATTTATTAATTAATAAATAATATTAATAATAATAAATGCAAAAGCTGCTCATCTGTAGATTAAAGCTAAGCAGCAGTGGCATTTATTTATGTTCAACATTCATGTTACATTCGTGTTGTATTAGAAAAAGAAACCAGCAACGAGTTGCTTAACTTTCCTAGCAAATTAAAATTTTAGTGGCGCCATCTGTTGCCATAGTTTATTAAAAACGTTTTATACTTTTAAATATTATAAAATGGCAAAAGGCTTAATTTTGAGAGTAGGGATAAGTTTATAAAAAATATATATATATAAATGCTAATAACGAGTAAAATCGTCATTAAGTCCGATCATACTCGAGATACACACGACCCCATTATCTCCCAATCCCCTCGATCTTTAATCACCAAAATTTAATAGCATTAATTTAATCTCCTTCCGCAAAATTTCAGAAATTTTCGACAAAAAGCACAAAAGTTATTAAGCTTCAAAATGGGTAAACAAAATCGTGCCTCCACACACAAAACCTTCCATACATATGGAAAAATTCTCCGAATTACTATTCCAACTCCCAATATTAACTGTTTACTGTTAAAAGTGATAGTTATTAAGCTTTCAACGTGAACGGAAAAATTCTCGACCACACAAATACCTGGGTACACAAACATCCATACACAGAAAAATACCGCAAAAAACTTCGGGTGTTATCGACGTTTCAAGGTTCCCAGTCCAAAAATGTAAAAATCTTGGGATAATTTTTTTTACCGATCGCTGTACTTTCCCTGTGTTATACGTAACAACAGAAAAAATAATAGGAACGAAATTTTGTATGGTGTGCGTGGGGGGAAGCTGTATTTTGCTGTATATTTTAGAACGTTATAGCCGAAAACTTTTGGAATTTGGCAGGTATACTATATATATATATATATATGGGGCATTGATGTTCTTGAAATTCGGACATTACAAGTCAAGGGGGAGATAGCGCAGGTAGGGGTGATACTCGAGCGGGATCACATTAACTCCTACGAATAAAATTTGATTAACTCATGAAAACACAATTATTGACTTTTACCATTTTTAAAATACTACTACTACCAAAAATGTGGCTTAACCTCCTTTTTTAAAATAAATTACTGTAATTTGCCATATACGGAGAAAGAAATATTTTATTTAAGCATTTACGTTGAAAATAATAAACAAACGTTCTTCTCAGAACAGAAACTTCTTTAATTTATGAAGAAAGTTTGGTAGTTCCTTTTACCTCTAGAAATTTCCAAATTTCAGATAGGTTTGAGGGGAAAACTTTGTTTAGATGTCAATGACACCATTACAAAATGTGTTCCTTAATAATAAAACATTTTATGGTATTTTTTGAATGCAAGATAGTTTAAAATCATGTCAAAACAATTAAATTCGCTAATGCTAATGAATAAAGAAATAAACAAACTTGTATTTAAGTAGTGCATAAATTCGTGCAAGCTTACAGTTCGTATGCAAATTATATATATATAGTATATATACAGCGTGTCTCATTAATTAAAAGACTTGGAGACTTATATCTCTTGTCTTTATGAGTACAGAATTTTAAATTTTGGGACTATTAATACACGTAAAAATTGATACTTCTGCACTTTTCATAATGCAAAATTAGCATTTACATCTATCAGTAGTCTCAAAGCTTTATATTTTTATACCTACTAAGACCAGAGATAGAAGGTGGGTGCAACCTACCTGGAAAACACCACCAGATTTTTAAACAATTGAAAATAATACTCACTGCAGCAGAGGAACTGTCAATGTCTTCTCTTCGACTGACTAAATAATTAATATAGCGAAGATAGCAATCGACTGTGTTATGAAATATTCTTTGTTTAATTCGTTAATCTTTTCCTGTTTGCTTATTTCAAAATAATAAAGTAGAAAAAGGAAAAAGAAAAACCAAGTTTCAATTAAGGAAATGAGACTTAAAATGATTGAATCAACAAAAAATACGTAAAAATTAAACCAAATATTTAAGAAAAATGTTAATATTTAGTAAATTAGTAGATAAATGTAATTAAATATAAGTTTTATTATTATTATTAAACTCTATAATAAATTTTACTATGAATTCTGTAATTTTTTTTAAAAATCAATATTCCTAAAACATAATTTTGAATTAATTATTTTTTAAATTAAATGCGGAAGAATACTTTTCAATGAATCATCATCATATTATTATGTCAAGACACTTGTCATGTATTAATTATAGAATTTCGAAACAGAAATTTCAATTGGAAAATAAATTTCAAAATAATTATAGTGTAATGTTTGAAATTTCATTAAGATTTCTACTTTAAGAAAATAAAAATTTGATTTTTTTCCCCTTTATGCTTTTTAGTGTATGGAGATAAAAAGAGCACGCGAGCGCTTACATAGGCTTTTCAATTACGATTATTATAGACTCGGCAGGTCCATAATATTCTCCGCCGCAACTGGCATTTGAACCCCAATCCTTCGGATGGATTGATGAGATAAGGCAATGCAACACATGGGCAATCTGCCAAGGAGGGTGATGCCTCCCGGGAGGACTTTTTACAGGAAACTGGCCCCGACTCAGGTGTTAAAACATGAAGAAAACCCGGAAAACTCCACGTGGCCAGACTGTTGGCCAGGCGCGAACCCACAGCCAACTATCAAGATTCGGTAGTTTTATCCACTCATTTATTTATTTATAAGCATTCATATTTAACTCGTTTTAAACATATCAGAAATAGTTTGCTTCAAATTGATCTAAATCTTTACATAAAATCTACTTCTGAAATTTCGTGTAGGCCTATATAGTTTTAATTCTCATCTTATGCATATAGCATTGTACGCTATATGCATAAGATGAGATAATTAAGACTCTGAACAACGGCTACTTTCGGGAACATAAAATTTATGTTCCCGAATATTTAATATTCAACAACGGTCAATATTTAATATTGACCGTTGTTGGAGATTCCACTTTACTTCTTCTTATTATTGTTTTTATTTCTTCCTATTTAATAAATTCACCGATTAGAAAAATGAATAAATAAGTAAAAGATGTTTATTCATATATTTTCCTGTAATTTTTATAATAACCAATTCAAATATTTATACAAAGATGCGTAACAGTAATAAAAAAAAACAGTTAACACTCTCGTTTCCTTCTTAGGATTAAAGTTTGTGTACAGTGACGTCAGAAACAATTCAACGGGCTGTTTACATTGTTTTCTAAAACCACGTTCATTTTCAACAGCACGACACTTGTATGCTGATCATACAATACTTTCATAAAGTTTACAGTAAGTTTATATACTAGGAAAACTTTGGAAAGATCAAGAGAAAACACTTGTAAGTGTCAAAATTATAAGTAATTCATATAAGTAAATACATTTGCCCCGTCTGTCTACAAACTTCTAAATCTCTCAGGAAAGAAAGTTTTAAGAGACAAGTTAGATATGCACAGTTTCTCTGATGTCACGAGGTCCTACAATCTAATTTTTTATTAAGGCAGGGAGCTCCATTACGGCCTCTTACCTTAATAAAAAGTTTGGACTGTTATTTTGATCAACTGCAATTCTCTTCACCCCCTCACGATAAACTGACCTAGAATCTAAGTGATAGCTTAGTCATTTCTTGGAAAAATTCTCGAGTGGATCGTAATGGACCACCCTCCTACCTTATTAGAAAAATGAGAGAAAAAGTCCTGCATAGAAAAATTAATTGTTCGTCCGAGATTTTCGGGGATGTCCCCCAAACAAGAAGGTAATTCCCGAGTTTATTTTCTCTTTGATTTTTTTCAAATTTCTTTTCATTTTGAGTTGATATTCCAATTTTATTCAGTAATATTTAGTCACGTAACATAGTGACCTAACTTTCTATGAGTTTGCTTCCGTTTGAATATATTAATAATTATTATTTTAAAAATTGGTGTTTAGTACGTCAAATTCTAGAAACCGTAAAGTTAACTTCAATTTTATCCATAAATTTCTGACTTCAACACTAACAGAAATCTACAAATTTAAGAGTGTTGCTCTCAAAAGAAAACTTTAAACCACTATCCTCTGAATGCCTTATTTTGTCTAAAATAAAACTATATTTTATCTACTATAAGCGAAATCATTACTTATTCAGTGGAAAATTCAGAATCCGCTGATCACAGAGTTGATCTTTATACAAACCTTCAATCCGGTGGCGCGTTTTCCTACGGGCAAAAAAAGGCAATTGCCCGAGACCCCCACTAACAGAAAGTCCCCGAATCAATCTTTTATAAGAAAATATTTCCTCGAACAAAAACTTCTGAAGTCAACACCGCACATGGGGCACCCTGATTCAAATTCGCCTGGGCCCTATGAAGCTACAACGCACCACTGCTTCGATCATCACCTTGTGAGGTAGCAAGTCAGAATCTGGCTTATATTTATTTATACATAGAGGATTAGTTAGGTTTGACACAGTAATTTACTATTCACTTCTATTAGTCAGTGTGTAGTTGTTGAATTGTAAGTTATTGGTGCTGATTAAGGGTCATTAACATAGTTAAGTGTTTGAGATTTTGAATAATTATAATTTGTATTTTGTTGTTGTAATTAGTGGGTTCAAATTGTAACTTTTGATTCAATATAAACTTTCAGCCTGTAAATCTATTTAGTAGTAGTAAATAACTACATAATTATAGCAAAAAGGCCAGCAGCCTTATCAAACACCTTTCTGATTTATACGAGCAAATATTTATTGTGTCATGATTACAATTCCGGATTGAAATTTTTAATCATATTTTTAATGTATTTAATTTAAAATATATGCTCTACACTTCAAATTAGTAGTGGCTT